AGCCTATTGGAACCCAGAGAATGTGTCTATAGTATGATGCACATATTTCAAATTTCCAAACACTGCAAAGTGAAAGACATCCATGTGCCAAACCTCATTTCTCCGAATACCCTTAGGATTACAACCTGCTGGCACTTCCTCCCCTTTCCTTTCTTTTTGGTTCCCCAAATCTCTTAGATATTCAGAAGATAAATGCCTCTTTTATCTTGTTTTATTTTTCTATCCATGGTCCCTATAATTGATAAATAACTTTCAATAACACGGTGATGTCTTCAAGATAAGCCCAAATTTTATCATTTAAGGCCCTGTGATTGTGATCCCCATTCTGTAACTTTAAGCTCTTGCACTGACACTTTATTTCATTATTTCTCATTAAGTAAGTCCAAACAGTGAACCATTTACTTCATAATAAATCCTGATCACATTTTCTTAGGAAGAAGGGCCAAGAGGTCTTCTGGACCCATATTTTTTCTCCAGATGGTATTATTCTCAAGTCACCAATTATCATGGTTACCCTTTTTATGGAAAAACAGCAAGTTTTTAGTAAGTCTACAGCATCATGAGGACTGTTAATGCAATATTTTATTAATTCTTTGAGAATTTCATGCATGCATACTATGATAATATTTAGTCCACACTATTTCCTACAAATCCTCCAAGACTCACACCCAACATCCACCTTCCATACCCTCCCAAGTTCATGACCTCTCTCTCTAATAACCTGCTAAGTTAAAACAAAATCAATCAATAAAGTCTGAGGAACCAAAAGAGCCAATATATACAAAGACTGTAATATAATGTAAATTGGTCATTTTATAGTTTCTAACTTTAATTTTAATTTTTTTTATTTTTTATGCGCATGTGTGCTTTGCTTGCATATATGTCTGTACACCGCTTGCATGCCTGATTTCTGAAGAAACCAGAAGTAGTCACTGGATGCCCTGCAACTTGAGTTATAGATAGATGTAAGCCACCACGTGAAAATCAAACCCAGTTCCTTCAGAGGAGCAGCCAGTGCTTTTTACTGCTGAGGTACTTGTCTAGCACCTACTTTCAGTTATTAATTGTCGTGAAAAATACCCATTCAATATTCTACTTTCAAGAAAAAATTTTGTTTAGTTGATTCTTCTCTAGTCTCATCTCCCCCCTCTCCCTTCCTACCTGGTATAAGTCAGTCTCCCCTTCACTTTCATATCACATGCACCTTTAGCTCCTTCTACCAAGCACTTATTTCACTCTCATTTGGTCTCCTACTTTTCATGCTTCAGTCACATTTATATACCCATTTACAGCCATACATATACACATTATATACTAGGATCCACATATGAGAAGGCAACATGCAGTTTTTACTCGGGTTACCTTGTTTAATATAATACTTTACAGATTCATCTATATGCCTACAGTTTTCATGATTTCATTTCTTACACTGAGTGAAATTCCACTGTGTGTATGTACTGGATTTCTATTATCAATTCATCTGTTGATGGACATCCAAGCTGGTTCTAGATCTTTGGTATTGTGAATATAACAGCAACAAAGAGATGCATAAACATCTCTGTGGCAGTATATGGAGCCTTTGGAGCAGGTGCCCAGATACAATATAGCTGGATGATATAGTAGTTCTACTTTTAATATTTTGAGAAACATTCATGCTAGCTTCCATAATACCTGTATTGGTTTACAATACCACCACTAATTAATAAGAGTTCCTCTTTCTCTGAGTCCTTGCTAACATCCATTCTCTGTTTTCTTGATGATAGTTATTCTTACTGGAATGACATGATACTGCAAATTAATTTTAATTTGCATTTCCCTGATG